TTGACGTTTGTAAAAGTTGATTCAATGTCGGGGTCGGACCGCTTTGTTGGGACACACTTTGTCCGGACATCATACGTGGTTGGTTGTATCCTGGACCAGGTGGGGACATCATATTCATCCCCTGGTGTGGCATCATCCCTGGACGTGAGGGACTCATACCCGGCCCTGGTTTACCCATTGAAGGATAGCTTGGCCTCATATTTCCTTGAGAGAATGGAAATGGAGCTGACTGGTTGTTGAATTCTCCATGATGTTCTGCCATGTTGAATCCTCCTCTGTTAAAAGCACTGTAGTTTGGCATGGAATTAGGGTTCATGTCATTCATTCTGCTAAAATTTTCTGGATTCATGTTTGGATCATTAGAATTTGGGGGATAATTGTTCATATCAGAGTTCATATGACTGCTTCCCATCTGCATTGAATACTCTGTAGCTTCAGAATTCGAGTTGTGTTGTTGTTGGCCTCCATCTTGAAATGAGTCCATTGTGTTCTTCTTTCCACTTTGCTTTTTAGTACGAGTTTTCTTGGTTTTTACACGTCCATCACCATCGTCTGAAGGTGTCGTTTCCATGGTAAATCCCTTCACCGGAGACGGGCAGCTATCTTGGGTGACTCAGTTCTAATTTTCCTGGATTTTTTGTTTACGAAACCGAGTTGATAAAGCATACTGTTGAAACACACCCTGGGTTCGAGAAATCCCAGTGACGACTTTGTCTGTTCACTCCATATAAACACCAAAAATCCTAGAATTCACCAAAGTCCAATCCAATGTTATTGACACACGTGTTTTGATAATGAGCTAAAGATTAAGTGAAAGAAAGTTTAGATGGATGGAAGCATGGCCTCTTATCATACACAGCTATTATAAGGTACACATCAATAAGCGCCAATATCTCAACATTACAGCCCTAGATTCATGCGCATCGATGTTTTCCGGGCATAAAGAAAATAAATCGGCCTAAAATCTCAACTGACACCAGTGACATATTCCATGTTTAAAATACTTGATTATTTCTACAGTAAAACTCGTGGTTTTGGCACGCAGCATCCGCTATAAAGTACTTTGGAATTCTTTTCTAGTGGTCCTCTACTGAGCGGATGGTTACAAATTACAGTAGTGAGGCGTCTCAGGCATTCTTTACAATTCTGACTTTTCAATTAGCGAGTAGTTTTACCTCCTCCGATACCCGATTTTACACTTATTTAATTAAAAATATATCAAAAACTGCCTTAAAATGGCTAAATAAAAAATGCATTTTAGAGTGGAATTTTGTGTAACTAATGATGTATAAATTAGGTCCTAACTCGACCTGAAAGGGGTCTAAAATCGCCAAAATAGAGAACAAAGGGGAGGTTGTTAGTACAGCATTTATTTGCCAAGAGGCTTTGAACTGACGTCAACCGAACGACTGGTCTCAGATTATTGGGCACGCAATTGTTGTTATTCATTTTTTCTTGACGCCAGGCGTGAGGGAGCAATTCAGCCAGAATTTCGCAATTTTGGTTGAAAATTCAGATGGTTGAAAATTAATACTGTCTAAATTTGAAAAAATTTGCAATGAAAATGGTAGATTTGGGTGTTTTTGAGTAGGAAATAGAGGGAGAATATATGGCTATTCCCGTTATAAAGCACCTTCCCCCGTGATATTTCTAGTGAATATTTTCTCGGTTGTTGTTGAAGCCATGATGGAGGCAGAAAGGTCGAATACGATGAAAAAGGAAGCAAAGGGAAGTAACTGGTAATTAGACGTGAACTCAAATTGACAGCCGCGTTCGTGACTGCACACAGAATAAAGTAGACTTGTTGAGGAGAGTTTCTAGCTAACAACTAACAAAAACCTTGCTATTGGAGAAAACTGGCTAGAAATTAGAGCGAGATTGAAGTCGATAGCGGAGAGAGAGAGAGAGAAGTTACAGAAGAGTTGGAGATCTTCTGACAAGAAATTATTTTATAAATAATTTGTATTTTAGAAATAAATATATTTTACTTTTACGTATTTGTATTTTTGAAAATTTGACCCAGATAGGCTTTTAGCTTTAAAGGAGTTGTTAGACGTAAAGGCGTACATCCATACACATTTGGTATTTTGGAAGTGATTAATATTTTTTTTTCACGTATTTTGATTTCGAATTACTCAACCTTAAAAACCATTTAAGTAAGCAAGAATTTGTGGTCATTTTAAAGGAAGGATCACGCTCCAGCTTCTTGCTGAGATTATTGGTTTTTTTTTGTATGTAGAAATTGTGAATTATGAATAACTATTGTTTATATTATTTTGTATTTTAGAAGTATAGGGGTATACGGCCCTTATTTATTGATTTGTAGATCTATGTTGGCTATGTAGAAAATGAATTTTTAAAATATACCATTTTGGTCTGGAAAGGTTAAAAAGGGCTATTAAGGCATTGTATCTTTTTCTAAATCAAAACTTTGAGGCATATTTCAGCTAAGGGAAGCTATACTTTGATCCCTTGGTATATGAAATCCCACGTCGCCCCAAATAATTAACCTTTGCCGACTGATCTCTGCCATCCACACCTTAAAAGAATTTGGTACCGCCAGTAAAAAATGACGAAGACCAACTTCATAAAAGATCAGGAATGACCCGGAGAATTCCCTTTAAGTCAAATAAGATATGTTATACGTCATACTGTCAACAAAGAAATGTATTTTATTATAGAGTATATCAAGTTTATTGGTGAATATAAGACATGAATTATTACACCGTATAACATTGTTTTAGAAATAGTTAAAGGGACACGGCGGAGTTGAACGATTACGTAAATGAGCATGAAGCGATTCATTACGATATTGAAATACTTTTTAAAGAGATAATTTTGGTTTGACAAGTATATATAAGACATAAACTATTACACTGTATAACATTGTTTTACAAATAGTTAAAGGGATACGGCTGAGTTAAAATATTATATAAAGTAGCATACTGACAAAATCTAAAATATATGTGAATTCATGGGCATGCTTGGACATTTGACAGGTCTCAGCAGTTTAGTATAGCTGAAATGATGTTGCAGGGCGCATGTTTGTTTCAGTGAAGCAACAACGCAAAATGTTTGGAATAAATCATGCTATAAAAGGAAATGGAATGCCAATATGCTACTAGAAATCTATCTTTCTGATGAAGGACAGGTCATTCAGTGTAGCAGAACCAGGATTATTGAACAAGTAACTTAAACAGATAAATAAAAAAGTTTTTAAAAAAAAGCTTAAAACGACAGTTACGCCATTTTGGGGGTTTATTTGAGTGTTGAATATATGTAAATAGTCTTCAGAAGTATTAGAATTGTAAGAAATCGGTAGATTTCTTTTAAAATACTTCAAGCAAGGAATTTTACTCACTATTTATATATATATATGTCTTTTCTATATACCACTGAGTATCTTGACGAGTCGTCATTTTAACATTCAAACGAGGATAATTCTGAACACACATGGATTTGAAGGCTCAAATTTCGACGGTGATTACACTATTATTGATTGGCTTAGCTTAAAAATTACCGTTTCTGAGACTAAGGTACGATTGGTCAAAAAATGTGTGTGTGTGACCAATCTAGAAATGTTTGTGTTTGTAAAGCTCCATGAAATGTTCACGTTAGACCAGTAATGAGCGCTATACTTAGTTTAATAATGTTAATGAAGCAAATATTCGTACGGTTTTCTCCCTTTAAACAAGTGCCTAGTCGTTCCTAGTAAACCTAGGCATTGTGTTCTACAGTCTGTAAACGTTAAATATCACTCGACAGATGAAAATGGAAAAATTCTCAGTCTGAAAAGTGTTCAGGATAGGAGAAATTTTCAACTATCACAAAGCAAAGCAAATATTGATCACTGTATCCTATTATCAATGTATATTTCACGAATGGCATGTAGCTGTAGTAAGACAAACTGAATAGAACGAATACTATCTATTTCAACCATGGACTGCTGTGGAATTTGTTCGTATGATTTGAATTTTTTCCATTTTCATACAAATCTTCTATTTCCTTTCACAAATTCTCACTTAAATCTCCATAATTCATAAACACTTAGTTACCTAGCAACAACCAATAGAAATTGTTCTGGTCAACCCCGGGACAGATGTATTGGACAGGTGTCAGACTGTCACGTTCTTATCGGGCATTATCATCAATTGACTCTGAAATATTGACCAAAATTATTATTATATTTTGAATATTGAAATAATGATATCTCATAAACCATTGATACCGACTGTGCTTAAATATATGCCGACATGGGTCTGAATATCGCCTAATAGATATTTTAAAATTCTTTTAAGAATAAGATAGGGTACAAAATTTCGCAAATTCTTTTTGTTTTATTTTTGTCAGGAAAGTGGTCGATTAGCCGGAATCGTATAATAATAATAATGATAAGAGATATGTATTTTATCTAACCCTTTTACTTTCAAGAATCAGAATGCGACGTCAGGTTCGTCTTAAATCGGGGATTTTCAACCTGGGGGTAAATATAATTTTGAATTTTTGGGAGGTAATGAGACGCCATGTAATCTAGTATGAAATATTTGTTGGATAAGATTTATCAAAAGTTTCGTTTTGTGGAATTAAGAGTAAATTTTGAGTATTTTTCAGTGTGTTTACCGTGTTGTTTTACCACAATCATGGGAAACAAAATTATATGTTGGCTGGTTTTCTGATTTAAAAAAAAATAGAGTTGTTTCCCTTAGATCACAATTTCTCTTAGTAGTCTTCTCGCTTTATCCATTATACTGAATTTTGGTCAGATGAAACGACAATATATCTAAGATGAAACTGATTCATTTTAAGGATTGTTTAGAGATTAACGTGAGACCCATATTTACCGCAAATTTATTCATGAACATCAAGTCATTCTACAAAACATAGCCAAATAATACAAAAGGAAATTTTAAATGTTTTTTTTTTGTTAAGACAACACGAACTCTGCCCATGCATAATTAGCATGCGCATTGTTTATTTCCGGCCCTTTTCTAAAGTTAAAAATGTCGAATGCTGCTGATCCCAACGCGGCTTTATTGCCAATTGTTTATGATTATTTGAAAGATTCGTGTAAAGACATAGCAGAAGCTTTCCAGAAAAGATTTAAGTTTGTAAGTATGGGTAAAATGATCATATCCAAATCTTCAAAGACTTGTTTTTGAATCTTCAAACAGACTCCGCTTTACGAATTTTCGCCCATTTTTCGTCAACATTGCGACACGTGCTTTTTTAAAACCTCGTGGCGGAGCAAAGGCGAATTGCCGAATTCGTTATTTCATTTTTAGGTATTGACTAGGGGAAAGGCAGACCGTCGTATATTTTACAATTTTAAGAAGCATTTTCCTTTTGTAATAATATTACATGGAGGCCCATAGGTATTTAAATTTATTAGATCCATTGCCATTGGATTGACTTGTAGAAGCAAATGTGTTAATTAAATTAGATATCAATTTGATAAGTCATTATTTTATTATTTACTTGCGCTTGTCCATTTCATCTTCAGGCCTCTATGAAGGTTGTTACCCTTTTAAAAAAAAATAGGGTTTAGATATTGAATACAAATTCAAAAATCAAGTTACTTAGCCTACTTCTCTCTCAAAAATGTTCATACAAAAGTGTTATGATACATTTCGTAATCATTCACACCATATTTGCCTTGGGAGGTGTTGCTGTAACTTCAAGCAAGTGCGATCAAAATTAAGGATCTGGGGTGTCCACCAGGCCTGTACCCAGCCCAATGTTCCAAGGGCGGAGGACTTTTGCATAAACATATTCCATTTTCTTTATATGTTTTGTTCCTTACTGGGGATCCCTTACTAATCTAATATTGTAAAATATATTTTGATTTTACAAACTGACCTTGATAACTAATTCTGGGTATTGCTAAGCATATGCTGATATTCGGTTGTTTATAGATAAAATTTAGGGCTCATCTTCCAAGTTACATTAAGTTACAATGATGTTTAAACACTGTATACACACAGATTATGGCATATTATGTTGATTTGACATTATGGTGTTGACACATAATGATATAAGTAATTGTTCTAACTTAAAGCTATCATGCTTTAATTACACTTAAACTCAATTGTTGAAAATAAGCCTGCTTGTTTGGCCTTTGTCTGCTATTTTTACTACTAGCAGACGCCCTACTTGTGGAAGAAATATGGCCACCCTATATAAAAAGTCAGCTATGATTGATTTGTCATTATGGTATAAACACTAATAATGATATAGTAATTTGTAGATATATTCCTTTGTTTTAAACTTAACTCTCTATTATATTTTTCAGAAAGCCAGTCAGACATCTCCAAAGTTAAAATCCATTTACAAAGATTGGTCAGGGTGAGTATTTTAATTATTTTGAATGCAAAGGTGTAGCTGATGAATGTTCACACCTGGATGTTTGATGAATGAATTCAGCCTTATCAGTTTAGTTATTGAAAAGAAAATTAAAAGAAATCCTAAAAATCCTGAAAATTTCTCTAGTTAACTTCAAAGTTATAGTTATTGTCAACCATTTTGGACATTGCTTAGACATTACTGGTAATCAGCCTAAAATCTAGTTTGAAAATATCGAAACTAAGTACGAGTATGTTTCTTCCATGGAAGTAACGCACACAAATGTCGTTCACAGCCATTTTGAATCTCTTTGAGTCAAATTTTGAAAAAGGCTACAATATTTTTGAACAAAGCCTTCAAATCAAATTTAAAGGTTAAGAAATGACTTTAAATATGATTTGTAGCCTCTGTTGAACTATTGTAGCCCTTTTCAAAATTTGGCTCAATAAGTCGAGGTGGAGATTCAAAATGGTTGTGAACTCTGTTTGAGTTGTTTCCATGTAAGAACCATACGTAGTTGTAGTTTCGTATGGCCATCATTCTTTATAGTAAATATGTTTTCCGAAGTTGAGGAAAACTGTCAATCTTGTAAAAGTGTTATTTATGAATTATTGGATTTTAGAAAAAGAAAGACTGAAGCCATGAATGGTCCAGTGAGTAAGAAAACCAAGAAAGATGAAAGCTCAGATGATTCTAGGTAAGTAATAGGCCATTGTCTCTTCAAAACTTCCAAAATATATTTATACCATGTTTGGAAAGGGCTGATATAGACAAAACGTGTTCTCCATTCCTTTTCATAATTTATTTCTTTGAATATATTTGTGAATTAGATATTGTTTGTAAAAAATGTGACAAGTAAATCTTGTTAGGACATTAGGACAATAGATGTACGTCTACTGAAATAAACCCACCTTCTCCTATAAAAATTTTTGTTTTGTTTTGACCCCCAGTCCAATAAGTTTATTATCTTTTTTGCCTAACTTTTGACTGATTATGTGTCTTTTCAGTTCATCAGAAGATGAAAAACCTACAGTTAAGAAAGTAAATGGAACAGCTTCAAAAACACCCCAAAAGAAAGTAGTCCCAGCTGCAAATAAGACCCCAGTGAAAAGAACAAGAAAAGAATCCAGCAGTTCAGATACTTCCGATGAAGAGGATGCCAAGACAGCCTCAAAACCTCAGACTAAGGTGGCTAAAGTTACTCCCAAAGCTAAAGCCAAGAAAGACTTAGATTCCGAGTCAGATTCAGAAAGTAGCGAAGATGAATCCACTAAGGTGAAGGCAAAAGCTAAGCCAAAGCCCAAGACAGCTGCAGTCAAAGCAGCAACCAAAAAAGCTGAATCGTCTGACAGCTCAGATAGTAGTGATGAAGAAGACTCGAAGCCCAAAGGAAAGACAGCTGTAGCAAAACCTGCTGCAAAAGCTACTCCAAAACCAGCAGCCAAGAAAGCAGAATCTTCAGATTCCTCGGATAGCAGCAGTGAGGATGAAAAACCTAAAACCGCAGTTAAAGCTGCCCAGAAACCAACTCCAAAACCTGCAGCCAAAAAAGCAGAATCTTCTTCATCTTCAGATTCAAGTAGCGAAGATGAAAAACTAACAGCTGTCAAAGGAACTCCAAAAATTGCTGCAAAAGCTACTCCTAAAACAACCCCAAAAGCTACTCCTAAAAAGCCTGAGAGCTCATCCTCTGATTCCAGTAGTGAAGATGAAGCCCCGAAGAAGGTAGTAAGTACTCCAAAAGCAGCTCCAGCTAAGAAAGCCACACCAAAAGTTACTCCCAAGGCAACCCCTAAAAAACAAGAATCTTCTTCAGACAGTTCAGATAGCAGTGAGGATGAAAAACCTGCAAAGCCAACGCCTGGCAAAGCAAGTCTAAAGTCAACCCCCAAAATCCCTGCTAAGGCAACCCCAAAGAAAACTGAATCCTCCAGTTCCTCAGATTCGTCAAGTGAAGATGAAAAGCTTCAAAATAAGAACAACAATCAGAAAGCAACACCTGTGAAGCCTGCAGCAAAAGCTACTCCTAAAGCAACTCCTAAAGCAACTCCTAAAGCAAATGCTAAAAAGGCTGAATCCAGTAGTGATTCAAGCTCTTCAGAAGAGGAAGAACCCATACCCAAGAAAGCACAACCAGCAAAAGCTGCAGCAAAAGCAACTCCAAAAGTGACACCCAAAGCAAAAGCTGGGAAAGACAGTGGAACAAGTGATTCGGACAGTGATTCATCAAGCGAAGATGAAAAAGCAGGTGCTAAGAAAACTCCAGCAAAAGTAACCCCTAAAGTTGCTCCAAAACCTGCAGCTAAGACCACACCCAAAGCGACTCCCAAGAAACCAGCTGAAAGCTCCTCAGATTCTGATTCCAGTTCAGAAGATGAGAAACCGAAGCCGAAAACTCCAGTGAAAACACCAACGAAAGTGCCTGTGACCCCAAAAAGTAAGAAAACTGCAAAAGAAGATTCAAGCTCAGACTCAAGTTCAAGTGAAGATGATTCAAAAATCACAGAATCGATTCTGAAGAAGACTAAACCATTAGCAAAATCAACCCCAGCTCCCTCCAGAACCCAATCTGTTTTGAAGAAAGCTGCTGCAAAAGATGACTCAAGTAGCTCTGATTCTAGTTCTGAGGATGAAGCACCCAAAGCCAAGACACCAGCTAAATCCCCAGCTGCTAAAACGACTCCAAAACCTACTCCAAAATCAGCAGCTAAAAAAGACTCCTCATCATCTTCAAGTTCAGAATCAGAAGAAGAAACAAAATCAAAGGTGGTAAAAACTCCAACAAAAGTAACCCCTAAGCCTGCTGCTAAGAAACCAGCGGAAAGTTCCAGCGATTCTAGCTCTAGTGAATCCGAAGATGATAAGAAGCCATCTGCAAAAAAGACACCAGCTGCAAAGGTAACTCCTAAAGCCACACCTAAATCTACACCTAAATCAGCTAAAAAAGAATCCAGTTCGGACGACTCAAGCAGTTCCGAAGATGAAGCACCTCAAAAGAAAGCTACTCCTGCTAAAAAGCCAGCTCCCAAAACACCAGTGTCGACTAAAAATACCCCTAAACAAACTAAAAAAGACAGTTCAAGTTCAGACTCCTCTTCAAGTGAGGATGAAGCCCCGACTAAGAAAACCCCGAACAAATCACAAACTAAAAGCCCTGTAAAAACCCCAAATGGTGTTGCCAAAGCAACCCCTAAAAAAGACAGTAGTAGTTCCAGTGATTCTTCTTCTGAGGATGAGAAAAAACCTGCTAAACCTGCCGGGAAAACTCCTAATGGAAAATCCCCAGTCGTGGCCAAAGTGAATGGGAAAGACTCAAGTTCTTCGGACAGCTCTGATAGCGATGCAGAACCCAGCACGAAAAAAGCTAAAGTGAATGCTACAGCAAATAAACAGAATAAAAGTGTAAATAAAAAGGATGAGAGCTCGAGTTCAGAAGAATCAAGTTCGGAAGAAGAGACCTCAACTCCTAAAATACCCAATGGTGTGATGAAAAAGACTCCCATTTCTAATGGTAAGGTAAGATTATCTAGTCTTTTTCTCTTTCAGTTGACTTTAGTTTGGAGGGTACAGGATGTTCATGACTATAAGGCAGAGGTTAATTATTCTCAAGGGAGTAATGGTGGTTTTTTTTTTTGACAATTATGATTTAAGTCCATCTGTTCAGTCAGGCTATATCTGACTTGAAAAAGATAGCAGTGAAAACCTCAGAAAATCACAGAATAGTAAGGATTTTTAGGGGAAGGGGGGTAATCAATCAAGGATCTTCCTGCTATAAGGAAATCTTAATCCTTATTTGACGTGCTGGTATAGAGATTTCATAATAACAGAACACAATAACATTTCCAATGTCACTTGGGTTTTATAGCTACTGAATGACAAGCAGTTTTAATAATGTACATTATCATCAGTTTGACTTTACAGGCCTGGGATAATCGAATATTGTAATCAATTACGAATATTCAAGTAATCTAGTAGTAATAGATTTACAGATTAATCTAATAGTAATGTAATTGTAATCGATAATGTTTACATTATTTTTGTATTAATTTATTCTTAATTTCTTACTTATTTCAGGGAAGTCAAAACGCACCGTTTCGACGGGTAAAAGCGGAAGAAGTTGAAGTAGATCACAGACTGGCTGATAATTCATTTGAAGCGAAGGTTAGTTCATCATTATATCAGTTGTCCACTCTGTTGCTGGAATTAAGGGTATTCTGAAGCACAGTCTGTTAGAGTGTTCAAAATTTCACTTTTAAGTCATTTGCATAGTTAAAAAAAAGGAAAAAAGGTTGGTCAAGGGTTTAAACCATTATAGCATGTGAAAGCCTGATGACCTTGAAGAAGTCATCTTTCCTCATTAGACCACCCAGTTGATCCAGCTGTAAAGAGGCAACTTACAGCTAATCCATACCAGAGGTTTGGCTGGAGCTGAGACAGTTTTTATTCTCCCCAAAAAAGTAACCTGTCCTTTTGGTTCCTAAGATTGACCTAGACACAAGCAAATCCTGTCTTATTATGGGAAACTTTTTTGGGTGATACCATACTTGCGAATAAAAATCGATATGTTTGGAGAAACACTTGGGACTTCATTACTTTACAGAAATAAAAGAAAAAAAATATTTTATTTTTCAGAAAAATGCACGAGGATCATGGGGAGAGAGGGCCAATCATGATTTAAAACATACAAAAGGAAAATCATTCAGACATGAAAAAACTAAGAAAAAACGTGGAAGTTACGCTGGAGGAAGTATTGACTTCTCAGTTAATTCTATCAAATTTGACGATTAAACATAGAAAATATTTAACTTTAACCTTTGCAGTGTTCTGAAGCTTGGCAGTTATTAAGCTCTAAGCTCAACAATTGATCAAGTTCTGAAACATACAAGAGTTTTGGTACTTGGCAGTTATTGAGCTCTAAGCTCGTAATTGATCAAGTGATTGAAATGGACAAGAGTTATGGAACTTGGCAGTTAAGCTTGAAAGTGTACAGTGTTATTAAAACTAAATACAATTGTTGGACTTTGTAGAGTTAAGTGTAGTAGAGTTATGTCAGAGTCCAGATATGTTCAAAGTGAGGTGAACTTAACGCTGTAAAATAAATTGTTTGATATCGTATAAATCAAGAGATGAAGGAAATATGGTCTAGAGGTTATTAAGAAGTTTTTTTAAACTTTGTGTATGACAACATAAAACCATTTAGTGAAATTGCAAGAACCATGGACTGAAAATTGGTTCAAGATGGAAATCAAGCCTGATACACATAAAAACCTCTTAACAATCCACTTCAGGAGCTAATCAATAATAGAATAGTTGTGTTGAAGTAAAAGAGAGATATCCAAGGATATACCTGAAATATTTTTTACTTGACAAGTCAGAACACAATGACAATACAATGTTAAAATAGAGAAACCAGTTCATATATCTAACTGGAAAGACCATACAATTGACACAATGTAAAACTTTGTTGACTATACAGTTATTTTCTATATTTTAGTGTATGAGTGTAAATTTTAAATTTAATTTCTCAATTTTTGAATATACATATAATCATGATATGACAAGATATTTTTGCACTTCTAGGAATTTTTTTTAAGTTTGAATACGCTGATTGCTTCATTAATGCCATTGAAGAAATCATGAACACATGTAAGTCTATAAGGGATTGTCCATGGATGGTTTTCAATTTCAATTTAGACATGTCTTCTGAATTTTCTCAAACTTTTCTGGAGGTGCATATATATCTTAAACAGCTATTAATTATCAAATTTTGCCGATTTTTTGGGGGAGATAATGTTTTTGTTAAGGTGGTTGGGTTGTTGAAGTTTTTTAGGTTTTTGTTTGTTTTCTTTACCTCATAATTTCAATTCAATATTTATCGTGAGTTCACAAGGTATAGTTATTTAAATGGATTATGTGCCCTTGTTTCTTCATAATTATATATTAATCATGCATTAAATCATTTTAAAGATGAGCTCCGCCTCTTTATTCGGCTGACCTAAGGTCATCTTAATAAGATGGACCTTGTACTACCTTTACATAAATAAACCAAGTACTAACATCAGAATCGCAAAACAAAACCCGAAATCCAAAACATTTTGGCGAAACATATGTAGTAGCTAATGATCTTTTCACATGAGGAAGCTTCTCAATCATTAGAGTAAGTGTTTTATTAAATATGTTTTTGTTTTTGAAAGTTTGTAAATGCAGCAAATTGATTTGACTGTATGCCAGGAAATACAGTCAATCAGTCTCGACATTGCAATTACCACTCGTGGGCTCTGATTGGCTGTATTGATTAGTGTACAATCCAATCAAGAATTATATCAAACCTCATTGTAACTTCATTGCCAAATTATCAAGGTATGAGAAACTTTGTCTAATACCTTGACATCAATAGCCACTTTTCGACAGCGAATACAGTCAACCAGAGCCCTTGACAGTAAATATTATGACTTAACATTAACGGACATTCTCCTGAGGCCTCTGATTGACTGTATTTGCTACATACAGTCCAATCAAATCACTGCATTTGCTAATTTCTGTGACAAAAGAGAGGTGGCTATTGCAGTAAAGGTATAAAACAAAGTAATACCTCCACAATGTGAAGATTGTTGATGTCAGAGTATTTAGAATACTAACATATAGTATAACAATTTAGATGAATGGATCTTGATGAGGCTATAGAACTGGTCCCTGTTTCTCAAAAAATTTTAGGATGAAAAATTGTAACTGTAATATTACATGGAGAAATATAACACAACAAAATTCAATCGTACTATTTTTCGAGAAACAGGGGCCTGATGACGTAACCAATGTAGCTTGTATTATTGTTTCTGAATCTGTATATTATACATTGTTTGCAATTTGATAACTTGTTGATATTTTGTACCAATGTCTATTGAAATAAGTATTGAAATTCTGTATATATATATATATATATTATCTTTGTTTTTATTTACCACTTAATTGAGCTTCAGTGAATCCATGAATAGAAGATGTAGAGAAGATTTAGCCCTCTTGAATGTAACCCAATTTAGACAAAGCTGACATTTGTACATCTATTTCAATAACCGCCCTGCAACCCAGACCCATGTTCATTAGTCCACTCAGACGCAGATATGTAGATGTGATGATACTAAAACAGTAGACCACCCAACAATAGTGCAACAGTTGACTACCCTCTAGAATATAACCCAACAATAGTATAATATTGGACCACCCTCTAGGATATAACCCAACAATAGTATAATATTGGACCACCCTCTCGGATATAACCCAATAATAGTATAATATTGTACCACCCTCTAGAATATAACACATGATTTGTGTTGTCTTGTGAATATAACCCAACAATAAAATAAAGGAACACATGATATGTGATTTTGGTGTTTATATAAGCAGGCAATAGTATACATGATTAATCTTTAGGAAAACTGAGCGTTCTTTCCAGACACCGTCTGACAGGGGACACAAGAATTGATGGATCTGGCACGCGAAGGAATTTTTGACGAGACTCATGTTCACTTTCTGCAGAGGACAGTCTTTTAAATGCATTCTCCTTATTTGGAGTTATGCAGCCTGATTGTCCATTTATATTTTCTGGAGTGACTTGAATTTGAGATGTTTCGTGATTTCGACATTGCGTAAACTGACTAGCTTGCTGAATCTGAGAACTCAAAATAAATGCAGATTCGTCCAAAGTCTTCATATACGAATCGTCACTATCGAAAGAACTGGATTCGTCTTCAATTAGTTCTGAATTATCTCCCTTATTCGAATTAATTTCACATGCAACAGTTTGTTGTAAGGCACATTTTTTCATGTTTAAAACCGTTCCTTCAGAGTTGTCTTCACTTGATGATTGAGAGGGCGGTAATAAATCACAGAGGGCGTTGATGTAGTTGTCGTTATCATCATCACTGCCGAATAAATCAGTCTCTCCGTCTTCCCCTTCAATGATTTTACGTTGTCGGGCTGCATCTGATTCTAACAAAAGGGCTTTAAGATTTTCTCTTTGTTTCTGAAATCAAACAAAAATTCAAGAGTAAGTTTCCATAGTATGGATATAGTATAGTATAGTTTCCAGAGGGGGCAGAAATCTCAGATATTTCGCCTCCCTTGGATGTAAAAATTGCTCCGCCACTGATACTAGGTTGAGTTTTTTGTGAACCTGGCCTGAGGACAATATTTCCAAGCAAGACAGTTCCGTTGATCAAAATCTCATCCAAAGTATGGCATATTTGAGGGTAAAAGTTGTTCAGTAGTGGACTCCTCAAAAGGGAAGTACCATCAGGTGTTTTCGAAAAGAGTAAGCATGGCCTGATTGGCCCTTGTCACCCACTGTTCTGGCAATATTTCCCTCAATGCACACTGTATGGCATGAATCTACTTCATTAGCCCATCAGGGGCAGCTCCATTCACTTCATTTTACTTTCATTTCCATAAGTAAACTGGAAATAGGAATAAAGAAGTTACCTGTAATATTTCAGGAAATTTTTCTACTCTCTTTATCAATTTCTCTTTCAGTGAAGTTCTTCTTTCTTTTTTATCAGTTCTTATAGCTTTATCTATACAACTCTTCTTTCCTACCATATAAACAGAGTTACGGCCCCTGGTTACAGCTGTATAGACATGCTGCCAGTTCTCGTAGTATGATCGATAGACAACGTATACCACTGCTGAAGATTCTGAGCCCTACAATATATAATAAAAGAAGGGTAGGGGACAGGGTTAGATTTATAAAATTCTAAAGTAAAATGAAGAGTTTATTATAAAAATAAATAAATAAATAAATAAATAAATAAATAAATAAATAAATAAATAAATAAATAAATAACCTGATAAGTGTGAATAGTCCGAGCCCAGCCATGTCTCATTTTACACTTATTCACCAAATCTTTATAATTCACACAGACCAGTTTCTCTTTAGGTTGTTCTTTATCAGATAATATTAAATATCGTGTTGATTTACCATCTGTATTATGTTCTTCTGTATCCTGTATGATAAACATTCAAATTATTACACGTTTACACGGTATCTCGTAATTTGATTGGATAACAGTGGTCACGTGCATTCGGTTTATATCTGAATAAACGGAATGTCAATATAAGCTCCGCCTACTACTACTTTTTCATTGAGTTTGATTGAAATAGCCACTACAAGGCCTCGATGTCGTTCCTTCGAACGTTCACAGAGCCGATGTATAAAGAGAAAAAACTTGTGTACACTATATAAATCTGCGTAGCGTAGTGGTTTATACAGTGTACACAGGTTTTGTCTGTTTATACATCGATAAACTGAAAAAATGTTCAGATCATTCCTTAATTAGGCATCAAATTACATTCAACTTATCCATATCACCCGGCATTTTTCTCGAAAAATTTAACTTTACTTAACATGCTTTTCATTGCCATGACCCCCCACCATACTTAAGTCTCAGAAACGGAATTTTTGCTAAGCTAATGAGTAATATTGTCCTGTCCAGAAGCACTGACCTCCCCGCGAGAGTAGTGCCCTCTCAAATCCAAAAGGGGAGCCGAGGTGCTCGGAAAGCCCTCCAGTCAGTGATATCCTGGCTATGCTACTGGAAATAATATAAATCAATGAGTTTTATTTCTAACTGGTACCTTCATCAATTGTTTCTCCGTCACACGTCAGTACGTCAGTCAACACGTCAAACACGTCACACGTCGATGCTACCTTATAAAATCAAGAATCATATTATTTTTAATCACAAAACGAAATAAAAACGATATTTTGAAAATGGACACGTCAATGATACCTTACAAAATACAGCATTTCAATATATTTCAACGAAAAACGAAAGATCATTTAGAAAATTCTGTTATGAAAATAAACAGATCGGTAAACACGTCAAAACAGTAGGAATTGCCAATATTGTTCGTTCTTTACAGAGTTTTTGTAAAAAACGCATGAACAATAGGAACTTTCTCAAAGGGCTGCTTTTTTGGAAAACTCAAGATCTGTGTGGCATCAGGTATTCTAGAAAGGTTAAGTGTGCGTCAATACGTTTGGGCCGAAATTTCATCACACGGTCGGAACATCAAAACTTCCGTCAGTAAACAAGTCAAAGAACTGGTCTTCGTCACACGTCAATACGTCAGTAAACACGTCAGACACGTCAAAGAAATTAAAACATGTATTACCTTTATTACTTTATGACATTCAGAATACCCACAATCTTCAAAAAAGTTAACTTTGTTGGCTACTTCTACTACTGAAGTGTGATGAATACTCAAACTAAAGGCATGCTTAAACCTTCTTGAACACCTGAGGCCAATTTGCGATTGATGGTATTTTAAGAGAGTTCACATAGTTTGATTAACTTTTCTTTACTGACGGACTGACCTGAGAGGGATAACAGTTCTTTGACGCGTTTGGCGTGTTTTTATTTCTTTGACGCGTCTGACGTGTTTTTATTTCGTTGACGCGTCTGACGTGTGTACTGACGTATTGACGTGTGACGAAGACCAGTTCTTGGACGTGTTTACTGACGGATTTGAGTCTTAACCTACTGGAGTGTGTTTAAAACTCGACCTAAACGTTTTAAGGAATACTTACATTTTCTGGAACACCTGAGGCCACTTTGCGATTGAGTCTGTCAAAAATGTGGTATTTTAAGAGAGTTTACATAGTTTGATTAACTTTCCTTTACTGACGGACTGACTTGTGTGGAATAACAGTTCTTTGACGCGTCTGACGTGTTTTCATCTCTTTGACGCGTCTGACGTGTGTACTGACGTATTGACGTGTGACGAAGACCAGTTCTTTGACGTGTTTACTGACGGATTGAAGTTTTTACCTAATGAGGTGTGTTTAAAACTCGACCTAAGCGTTTTAAGGCATGTTTACACTTTCTGGAACACCTGAGGCCACTTTGCGATTGAGTCTGTCTAAAATGTGGTATTTTAAGAGAGTTCACATAGTTTGATTAACTTTCCTTTACTGACGGACTGACTTATGAGGAATAAGAGTTCTTTGACGCGTCTGACGTGTTTTCATTTCTTTGAAGCGTCTGACGTGTGTACTGACGTATTGACGTGTGACGAAGACCAGTTCTTTGACGTGTTTACTGATGGATTGAAGTTTTCACGTAATGAGGTGTGTTTAAAACTCGACCTAAGCGTTTTAAGGCATGTTTACACTTTCTGGAACACCTGAGGCCACTTTGCGATTGAGTCTGTCTAAAATGTGGTATTTTAAGAGAGTTCACATAGTTTGATTAACTTTTCTTTACTGACGGACTGACTTGTAATGAATAACAGTTCTTTGACGCGTCTGACGTGTTTTTATTTCTTTGACGCGTCTGACGTGTGTACTGACGTATTGACGTGTGACGAAGACCAGTTCTTTGACGTGTTTACTGACGGATTGAAGTTTTCACGTAATGAGGTGTGTTTAAAACTCGACCTAAGCGTTTTAAGGCATGTTTACACTTTCTGGAACACCTGAGACCACTTTGCGATTGAGTGTGTCTAAAGTGTGGTATTTTAAGAGGGTTCACATAGTTTGATTAACTTTTCTTTACTGACGGACTGACCTGTAATGAATAACAGTTCTTTGACGCGTCTGACGTGTCTTCATTTCTTTGACGCGTCTGACGTGTGTACTGACGTATTGACGTGTGACGAAGACCAGTTCTTTGACGTGTTTACTGACGGATTGAAGTCTTCACGTAATGAGGTGTGTTTAAAACTCGACCTAAGCGTTTTAAGGCATGTTTACACTTTCTGGAACACCTGAGACCACTTTGCGATTGAGTGTGTCTAAAGTGTGGTATTTTAAGAGAGTTCACATAGTTTGATTAACTTTCCTTTACTGACGGACTGACTTATGAGGAATAAGAGTTCTTTGACGCGTCTGAAGTGTGTACTGACGTATTGACGTGTGACGAAGACCAGTTCTTGGACGTGTTTACTGACGGATTTGAGTTTTAACCTACTGGAGTGTGTTTAAAACTCGACCTAAACGTTTTAAGGCATGCTTACACTTTTTGGAACACCTGAGACCACTTTGCGATTGAGTCTGTCAAAAATGTGGTATTTTAAGAGAGTTCACATAGTTTGATTAACTTTTCTTTACTGACGGACTGACTTAAGAGGGATAACAGTTCTTTGACGCGTCTGATGTGTGTACTGACGTATTGACGTGTGGCGAAAACCAGTTCTTTGACGTATTTACTGACGTACTGATGTTTTTACCTACTGAGATGTGTTTAAAACTCGACCTAAACGTTTTAAGGCATGGTTACACTTTCCGGAACACCTGAGGCCACTTTGCGATTGAGTCTGCCAACAATTAAGGCAGTTGTTTTGAGAGAGTTCACATAGTTATTTTATTTTTCATGTACCAACGGATTGATTTGTGAGGAATAACAGTTCTTTGACGCGTTTTCATATCTTAGGCATGCATTCACTTTCTGGAACACCTTATCCCAGTTTGCGATTGAGTCTGTCAACCAGGCAGTTGTTTTAAACCCGACTATAAATCATTGAGAAAATATTCTTTTTCTCTTTATAAATAAGTAATAATTCTTAAATTTGTACGCGGCACTAATTGAATTGAAATGACTGTAAAGAATGGCGATTTGTTTTGCAAATTTCTTAAAATTTCGTTTTTTGATGTAGTAGTTTTTATAAACCTAAGTTATAAGTTTGTAAGGTAGCATCGACGTATTGACGTGTCTGGCGTGTTTACTGACGTATATACTGACGGGTCTGACGTGTTTACTGACGTACTGACGTGTGACGGAGACCTTACTCACCTTCATTATGAAGAATATTTCACCATTACAGAGTTTTACTGTATTATTTTTCTTTTCTTTTTTTAATCCCTCTATTGGTTTTTTCTTTGGTTTTACTTTACTTTTACTTTCAGTTTGACTTGACGATTCTGAAGGAGAGAGATAGTTAGGAATTTGAGGTTGTAACATTGGGTTAAGTAATTTCATGAAAGCACAGGCACAGGCATAACCTCTAGTGAGAGAGTATTGTTTGTACAGATGGCTAGGGTGAGAGATACTCTAAAATTTCTCTTCACTAATAAAATGTCCCAAAGAAGAAAATCACACCCAATCATTTTGGAGCTACTAACAGACATCTCTGGCAATTATGAATAAATCAACAACCTAATAAAGAGAAGGTACTTTAGGCGAAAGTCTGTGCCCTAATCCTATCATATAAAATAAAATATGGTCAATGCAAAAATAAAATAAATCAAGATCAATTTCTCTTTACAAATAAATGGGTCCACTAAATGAAAAGTCCCAAAGAACTAAACTCACAGCCAGTCATCTTTGAGTTACAAACACACACGTCCAGCAAATAAGGATAAATCAAGAATCCTAGGGTGAATTTCACAATAACTACACTTAAGATGATTTGCGTGTTCCATTTGTTCAATCATTATACGTCCACACGTAAGTTGGGCGTATATTGTAATCACCCCGTCGGTCCGTCCGTTCACATTTGGCTCGTGCTCACTCTACAGGCTACAGTTCTTTATGGATTCTTTTGATTTTTATTTTGTGTGTCAATGTCATTATGAAGATGATCCCTATTGATTTTCGTGATGATCGGATAATTTTTCACCGAAATATCGTGTCTGACTTGACGTTTTTCTCTATTAGTTATATTGTGCAACTCGTGCTCACTCTACAGGCTACAATTTTTTTACAGATTCTTTTGATTTTTATTTTGTGTGTCAATGTCATTATGAAGATGATCCCTATTGATTTTCGTGATGATCGGATAATTTTTCACCAAAATATCGTGTCTGACCTGACGTTTTACTCTATTAGCTATATTGTGCAACTCGTGCTCACTCTACAGGCTACAATTCTTTACAGATTCTTTTGATTTTTATTTTGTATGTCAATGTCATTATGAAGATGATTCCTATCGATTTTCGCGATGATCGGATAATATTTCACCGAAATATTGTGTCTGACTTGACGTTTCACTCTATTAGCTATATTGTGCAACCCTGTAGTCACTAAAGACTGTTTAATCATTTCTGACAGCTGCCAGTGGGCGTATGTTACCTTGCCTGGCAAGCTATCTTTAAATCAATTTGATGAAGCAGATCACTTTATTTGTGATTTTTGGAACACTGTGCAACAGGAACTGTTATAAAGTCCCTCACTCTTAAAGATGGGGTCCTATTAAAGAGTCTTTGTTTGTCCCAATGGACCATGTCCTTGTGTATTCCCTCATTTCATTTATGATAATGAAAATGCTAATACTTATATGAATAAAAAATAGAGGTGTTCTAGTGACTAGGAAAAATACCAGTTTGTCTCACATGTCCATAATTAATTCATAATTAGCTAAATTAGCTAAATTAGAAGAGAATAATCAGTTGAATTCCAATGAGTGACCGATCAAGAAAAGGTCAAAAAGTCTTTTTTTGTTTATCCAGACTGTACATACATGGACATTTATGATTGGTTAAAACTCTAAATTATATGCAATAAGAACATAATGATATGATTATGAATACATGATAATTCATTAGAAACACCAATTGATCAAATAGTTAGATTAATTTGACACTAAAACAATATGAAACCCATCTTTAACTCTTAAATTAATATTAAACTTGTTTTTATCTACTTATTATAAAGCAGACGGCTAATGAAACCTAAATAAAAAGTCTTACCATCCTCTGAATCTAATAAAGTCAACTCAGCAGCTTCAGTGACATTTAATTTTCCATTCCGAACAATTTTCTGCGTTTTTCTACCTTCGTTTTTCTTCTTTGATGCCTTCTCTTTTTTAGGCAACCTCTCTTTATGGTTCATGACCTCAGCGTTTTTACCAAGACAGACCTTGTCTCCAACTTGGAAGAGATATTTTCGTTTGGAATCTTTCGTTACGTGTTTATTGTAGAATTTACAACATAGTTCGTTGATACTCTCACATCGCCTCCTGCAGAAAAATGAAGATAAAAAATAACTTTCAATGAAGTTTATTTCAGGTTGGGTCCAAATTAGAGACAATGGAACATAAAAATCTCAACTGCATCTATTTTCTAAATGAAAATCAGGAAATAAAATAATATATGCTGATATCTGCTTGTTAGATCCTGAAAACTATTCTATATGAGAAAACAACTATTATAGCACATTTTAGTCAGCATAAAAATTGTGAAACAGCAAAACATGGCAGCAAACTCTAAGATAGTGGACCACAGCCATATTCGCCCACCACGGCATGCAGATGGTAAATATTCAAGATTTTGGACCTTCATTTCATGAATATGTATGCACATACCAAATTTCATTTGATTCTTTCAAACACTCGGAGGGACAGACGGACGGACAGGGGTGCTGACAATATATGTCCACATAGAGAGATGTGGGCGTATAAAAATGACTCATCACTCAATCTGATTTGAATGTTTTGTTTTGTGTTTTCTAAGACAGCATCAAAACATAGATAGCAAAACATAGATAGCAAAACATAGATAGCAAAACATAGATAGCAAAACATAGATAGCAAAACATAGCAATAACAGGGCACGCTTAAATGAATATCTGAAAATCCCAATTCATAACACAAAGAAAGTGAATCTTGTGTGAGTATAAACCACCTACCTTTGGAAAGAAACAAATTGTGATGTCTCTTGATTTAAGTCTGTTGATGTTCGTAATAAATGTTGGATTCGTTTGTCAATTTCATTCTCGTCATCCGTTTCATCAATAAGTCGTAACTGAAACTTGGAATTATCGTACTGTGGTAATTTCATTAAGGAAATCTTACTAGCGTTGTTCACGATCAATTCAGATTCAGCTCTATGATTGGTCCTCAATTCCATACAACAACCAATAGGATACAAGACACGGAAAATATCCGCTAAAAAGTTTCCTGGTTCCACAGACGGCAACTGTCTGACGTCACCAAGGAGAATGACCTTTTTGAGCCTCGCTTGACGACGAAGGTTATTCATGACTGTTGCTATGGTTTTGACAGACACTAAACTACACTCATCTACGACTAACACACTTTTATTTTCATATTTCCAAACTGGCATTTCAGGATCAATTTCTTTCTTCATGGCTTCGTCTTTAAAAGCTTCAGAATCAACATCTTCCGAATCAAAAAAATTATCATGATTTTGTTCATCATTGGAATTATTTTGGTTCTGATTTTGAAATTTATTTTGAGTTTGCATGAATTCATCTTCATTATCCAAATCATTGTCATCACTTTCTTCGTCGCTACTTTCTGCTCGTTTCTGACGATTTGGGTCTGGTTTGTTCATCTCTCTCAAATAATCAGCTTTCCGTTTACAGAATCCCTTATAACTCATCATCACATGATGTAATGTGACAGATTCCATACATACTTTACGCCCCAGGAGATTGGCGGCTTTACCTACAATAAACAACAATGTAAGGCTTCAATTTGATTTTACACAGTTTTACACAGATGTATAAGTAAAGAAGTAGAAATACTTTTTTCTAAATCTTTCAACTCAAATTTGTTTCTATGAATCTATATTGGTCTAAAATAAACTAGATATTTGACCAATTAAATTTTAGAGCAAGAATATGAGTTTGCTGGAACAAACAAAGGTTACATAGTCTGTGATATCAGCTTTAGCTGGGAGAAAACGCTGGGTTGGCATCAACAATCCTACAAAAGTTTTAACAGGCTTACAAGGTTAAAGTAGTGTTCACTAAAAGTAACAAGTTACTATTCAACAGAAGCCACTGGCACAAGAATTCACCATGTGGTCAAATAAGAGACAATAATTACCTGTAGGTGCTGTTAGTAAAATAGTCTGACCTAAAGGTGTTTTAGATAAATAATGATCATCATCATCATCATCGCTATCATCTTCCGAACTTTCCCACTCCTCAGCTTCCTGTGTCATCTGACGATATGATTTCCATGGTGATCTATAGAACTGTGTAGATTGTGTTGTGTCAGATGATGATGTCTGGTCCAAGGAATCATTGAGTATCGATTCTTGGCCATTTTCTAAATTAGCTGGTTCTTCATTCGAGTCAATTGGTGCCACTATGGAAACTTTTGACTGACTGAAATTTTAAAAAAATCAGGTTTCAACTTGATCAACAATTGTGACCACTCTTTTGGTCACATCACAAATTTTTGTCATATACCCGAGTTGAAGCTTCCATTGTAAAGTGGTACAGTATATTATATATGTGAGGTTCAATTTTGATTAAACTCACTGCTAAAACAAGTTGTAAGATTGTAACATGCATGAAACTTTGAGTAACAACATGTTTCAGGTTCTTTTTTAATATTTCTAGATTACTCTTCAATTGATGTATAAAGCACTTTTTTTAAAGGGATTGTGATTGTAAAGAGGTTTTCTATGTTTATTGGGGACAATGATAGCATCACTTTCCGCCATTCCAATTTTCAATCAGACATCTGTGGTTCTCGTAATTTTACTAAAGCTAAGTGTTTTATGACGTCACCCCCCCCGCAAAGGTTTTATGTTATACAAGGGGGTGATGTAGTTTGAGTGGAATTGCAGCAACCACAGACATCTGATTGAAAATTGGAATGGTGCAAATTAATGCTACAATGGTCCCTAATACACATACAAAATTTATAAATCCTCTTTACAATCCCTTTAACAGTAAAAATATTTAGTTTACAATAGAAACAGTCTACCTGTTTTCACAGACATGTTTAAGAAGCTGAGTAACGACAGTTGTTTTTCCACATCCACCTTTCCCAGATAAAACAGCTACAGGGTTTGAGGCTATTAGATGGGCTGCTCTCCACTGATCTACGTCATTATGGATATTCTTAAAATCAGAACTGAAATTACAGGATGCCAATAAAATACCAAAGTGCTAAGACATGTAATCTGAAGTATCGCTAGTGGACAATAGAAGGGATGATTAATTAAATACTTATAAGAAGTAATCAAGGGATTATTTGATTATGGGGTTAGTAATCAAGTAGTTGTAATGCCAAGCAGTGATTGGTGGCTTTGTATTTCATTAGAGAGATGTCATACTATTTTTCATTTCAAAGACATCGACTTGATGTCCGATAGAGGATATTGACCGTTGGCCATTTGAGCTTCCAAGTCGGTCATGTCCGGCATATAGAGCCAAATCAACAGCTTTGATCCGAACCACAAAACGAAAATCCAACACCAAAATAACAGTTTGCTGATACATTGGTAGCAGCTACTGAACTTTTCACATGAGGAAGTAAATTAATTATATGAAAAAGTATTTCATAACGAATTTCAATGAGCTGATAGATAAATTTTACTTTTTTCTCCTTGTAAAAAGTTCTTGTTTCATTCTTTCACTTTTCATATACATCTTTCATTCAAACTGGTCCTACCCCATCATATCATTCATTAAATTACACTAATCATGTAAATTACAAGAGCTTTTCATAATTCTAGTACCACTGTTCCCAACCTGGGGTGTTTTCACCCCCTGGGGGTGTTGGACAAGGGTGTCAGGGGTGTGGCCAACTGATTTAGGAGAAGAGTTTATTTTGAATTGAGAGAGCACCTCACATCACATGCTGGAAATGTGGAAGTAACAAATTTTTGTGGGTGTGAAAGGTCCAGGTGATTGCTCCAGAGGTGTGAAGGGTGAAAAAGGTTGGGAACCACTATTCTAGTACATACCTTGTGAAGTCTATATCCAAATCATTTTCACAATAACTACCAGCATCTTTCAGCATAACACCTAAAGTCTTCGCAACATCTCGTTCAGCCTCCCAATTTCTTCGTAAAAATATTTTCGTCGTTTGGTCTTTGCCTTCTGTTTTAATGATGCGATGTTGCTCCAAATATTTCAATGATGCATCCCAATTCACAACTTGGTGATCGCACGTAAATTGACTTTTTCGAACGCGGAATTTTTCTATAAAAGTGTGTCCGCTTTCGCGAGCGTCTTTTTTAAGAAAGTCATATATATAAATAGCATCACAGTTCATGCTGGGCATATCGTTTAATAAATCACAACGAAGATAATCATACAGTGAAGCCTCTACTCCTATCATTCCATACTGTTTAAACATTATCTGTAATATAAATAAGGGAAGAAAAAAAGAAAGAAAATATTGAAGAAAATAATAGCGCTATATAATGGATGTATTGAGCACTATTTAAACAGTGAAAATTTTCTTTTAGTTCATAGAAAGTAGTGTATTGATTTCATATAATATAAACACACATCTCTTAGAGAAATTTCAGAGTAATGTTCAAAATTTTGACTGAAATTTTCCTCTGTAAACAAATTTCAATTTACATTAAAATAATTCCTAAACTTCAAAATCGTTGACAATAATTCTAATTTTTCAGGAACCAGAAATTAAGTCGTATTTTAAATGAAATGCCATCCTTTAATTGTAATCTGGCTACTGAATATTAAAAATCTCATATATGCTACTTATCAAAACCACATAGAACAATATCAAACACAGATCACCACTTAAAGAGACAGGTAGGCCATTTTTTTGACCAATCATACTTTCAGAAACTGGAATTTTTAGCTGAGCTAATCAGTAATAGTGTTCACAGTTCACTGACGAAATTTGAGTCTTCAAATCCATGTGTGTCTAAAATTATCTGCATTTTAATGTTAAAATGACGACTCGTCAATTTAAGATACTCTGTGATATATAGAAATAGTGAGTAAAATTCCTAGTTTGAAGTATGTTTAAAAGAATTATGTGATTTTCATACATTTTCCAGTATTTCTGAAGGCTATTTACATATATTCAAGACTCAAATCAACCCCAAAAAATGGCACACCTGTCCCTTTAAAAATTTCTGAAATATTAAGAAGAATATAGTAACTATCAAACCAGAATAAGACATAACACAGACTGATCAATTCTTCAAAATAAAGAAGACTCATATCTTTTAAAATACAAAACTCACATTAGAGAAAGCGAATTCCCAGGTATATTCTTCTCGACAATTATCTAATTTCTTTAATCTTTGACTACCCAGTTTTATTATCTCAGTGAATTTCTTAGGTAATAACTGAGCTAGGAAGGTAAATAGTTGGGGGAATTCCACAGCACCATAAACAAGTCTTACTGCATCTGGAAAAACAATAAAAAAAACACAATAAATATTGTGGCTAGCAGAGCAAGGTAGGCTCACCCTTCTAGTATAGGCTACATCATGTCTCTCTACAACTCATAAATACAATATGTATGTATTTCTTCAGAGAGTCCACATAATTTCATTTATTGTTTATACAGACACGTCATATTTTATAAGACCCAGGTTGGCAAAAAAGCTGCCTAAAACATTAACGACTTAGAACTGAGGCCTACAAGGATTTTCCCTGCTCTAATGTGTCTTGTAATTGAGGTCTTAAATTTCGGGTGCAGTGATGCATTTTTACTAAGTCAAGGGCAATAACTCTCAAACCGTTCATCCGATTATTGCCAATTTCTAAGTTGACAGAGATCTCATCAATATCCATGCATACCAAGTTTCATCAAGATCGGATCAAAACTACAAGAAATGTGAACGATGGACGGACGGACGGACGGACCAACGGCAATATACCTCAACATTTCCATGTAGGTGTATAAAAACCACCTTGCAAACGCTTATGAAAGCAACAGGCTCCACACATTCAAGATATGTGATAGATTGAAATCACTGAAGAGTATTCCAATTCCACTGGCCAGTTAAAATCCCTCATTGCTCACTGTATGGAGTGGCTTATCTTCATTAGCCCAGTCAGTAACAGATAACTAGGATGTAAAATTCCATTCCACTAAAAAGAACCTACCACATCTATCTACTAATTCTCCTATTGGACTAGTTTCATATTTCTTACAGACTTCATCAAAATTCTTTAACAGATTCTTCATGTTATCGAAATATACACTTTCATTAGGATGGTCACTATAATAAACAAACAAAAACATAGAAAATCTATAGGAATTTGATCTGTCACATCTAAATCCGAGGTTCTCAATTGTTTTTAGATATTGACCCCATTCCAGAAACAGACTTCAGATTGCAACCCTTCAAAGTAAAAACAAAGTTTCACGTTTTACTCAATTTTACTGTAATACATTGTTAACATTGACATTATATTATGTTCAATATTTGACAGGAAATTATTGATCTATGTGATGGTTGCATCTTGTTTCTCAGCAACAAGTTTTGTAATGCGTGGCTCAACACCACTCAGAGCAATAATCCTGTCCTTCTTTATTTGTAATGTTATCACCGGTATATTTTTTTCACAAATTTTCAAAATAGTTTTTAGACTAGTCCTCGACAACTAGAAAAGTACTTCTGGTAACCCAGGATTAATCATTTCAGAAAAGAAAACAAAAAAAATGCTCCAAAGAACCAACAATGGAACCTAACCCACTTTTGCATGGCTAAATTTTCTATTAAGTGGATATTCATTTCATAAAGAATTTCACAATCATGTGACATTTGACTGACAGCTAGCATTAAGTTCTAGTTAACAAGTGGACATGATCGTAAAACATAGCAATTTTTTCTTTTCTTTCGAATAATTTTTCTTTTTTAATCAAGAGTGACTGTCCTTTTCAAAGGAAATTTTAAGATGACCACTTGTAATTTTGGCACAGAGTTTGCGGTATTCGGTTATCTCTGTGACATGTCAACTCGGCGACAAATTATCACTCGGTGACAAAATATCACTCGGTGACACTATTTGCCAAGTAAACTCGGTGACACTATTTGCCAAGTCAACTCGGTGACACTATTTGCCAAGTCAACTCGGTGACACTATTTGCCAAGTCAACTCGGTGACACTATTTGCCAAGTCAACTCGGTGACAGATTTTGTCATATTAAAAAAAAGAGTTTGCTACATAATAATTCTCCTTTCTCTCTTACCAGACATATTTGTCAAGAGCAGACAACTTTTCATTCCAGAGTTCCCGCTCGTCAGCATTACCAAAATACGGTTCCTGGGTTGTAGTTAGGCAGATATTCATCAATTTATGTGTGACAACTAATTCATCAGTTCGTATATCATATAGAATAGGTCGTGTATGATCCACAAAATACATATTAGGAATACTTTTATTTCTATAAATAAAACATGTTATTTTCCACCATGGGTCATGCAAAGGAAATCTGCCTTTCACCACATATTTTTTTCCCTGACCAAATGTTTTAATGGTAACTGAAATTAAAAGAATGCATGACAAATCAGAACAAAGACAACTCAATATTAATGGCAATACAAAAAACTGTGAGGGGGTCTCATAATTGGTCTTGGTCTAAGTTTGCCGGATTCAAAATTGCTTATTAGATTACTGGTAATAATCAGTTATTCAATGGTAAGTGTAAAACACTAATTAGAAAAATGTCAGGATATTGGACAATGGTGATTTGTTGATAAAGGCTAATCTCATGTTTAGAGAGCAAATTTCAGTGTTAGAGGGTTCAAAATATACTTCAAGCAAATAGTGGCCATGGGTTCTTATCTTGGTTGATATGTCACAAAATTTTTTTTTTTTTTGCTGAATTTTGGCTGAAAATGATCGTCTGTAAAAACAAATTTTGAAGACATAATGTGTGCTCATGATTATATTTCTTATCAATGCAAAGACATTCTTAGACTGACAGTGCTATCTTGAGGCTGCTATTCCAATTCTCATAAAACAATGGGAAAAATGTTTTAAAAAAACTTTTAACTTTGCTCAGCAGACAATACTAAATAGGAATACCAGTCATCTTGGTGACATGTCAACTCGGTGACAGTTGATTCGGTGACAAAGTGAGTTAACTCGGTGACAAATTGAGTTAACTCGGTGACAAAGTGAGTTAACTCGGTGACAAAGTGAGTTAACTCGGTGACAAAGTGAGTTAACTCGGTGAAAAACTCGAGACAACATATTATTGAAATAAAGATGGTTTCTTAATAACATTGTTTTGTTTTACTTTGCTCATACTCGATCGGAACTTTATTTAAACATGGTTTCGGTAGTGAGCGATCTTTTGATTAACAGAGATCAGCGGTAAATCTAAGCCTAATTAAACAATTTAACAAACCAATCAATTAACAATGAAAACATGATTATTGATAGGCGTGAGCGATCTTTCAATTAACGGAAAGATCAGAGTTATATCAATTATATCCGATTATATGGCTTCCTATATGACTATTATAAAAATGGTTATAAATCTTATTCGACATTCATCCTTTTATGTCTGAAAATGTTTGAGTATTGTATGTTCGAAGGAGGTCCATCCCCGTCAAGAGGCATTGTCATGTGACGTATGCAAGAAATGGCAGCACAGAACCTGTAATATAAACCTATCTCGTGAAGAATACAGGCGTTTGAACAGAGAAGGTCGGGAGATCCCGTGGAAATGTTCAACATGTACAGAAGATGATGATGTTCATTCATCTTTGAATGATATCGGTATACCCGATGCAATAATGGAACCAGAAGAGTGAGTGTTTTTAGAATATTTAACCTAAATATAAATAAAAATGCACCCTGTTTGGCTTTCCGGCATGATTGTTACCTATATTATATGTTATTATCTTTGTATCGTTTTAGAACATTTGAAGATGACTTACCTGTGACCGATGTCCCATCTGAAGACGAACCATGCACCATCCCAAATAGGACTACCCGTAGATCAGATATCGCAGAAGAGAAAGTATTTATAGATTTTAAAGTACAGTGGTGTAACCTATTTTTGTGCATATAAGGATTAAACACAGAATTTCGTCAACGATAAAAAAACGAAAATTTTTTTTTATGTCTTAGATGTTTCCTCAGATATTCTACAAAATAATTAAAATTGGTTTATTTCGATTTTCTTTATGAATCCTTCACTTTGACCCATATTTCATGAGCAACCAACTCAGCAACGGCGGCAGAATGCGTCACCTATTTTCGTGTACAATGTTTGATCTATAAATAAGTCTAGAAAAACATGTTGTATGGATACCGGGTGGTATAATTAACTTCTCTTAGTATTTATCTTTAATATTAATATATTATAACTAGTGACAATTCCTTCAAAGAACCACGATTTTAAAAAAAAATAGTGACTGACAAAATAAGATACATAGCGTGATTTATTGCTAAAAGTCACTGAAACAACATAAGAATATGGTCCACTTTGTGTTCCATAGAAATTTTCTGCTCACACAGAATCTGCTAATTGATCACGTGACTTCATTCGTTGGAATATGTTCTAGCAGACGACACTAGGAATTCCGATTACCGCTTGGGATTATAAGGAAATTCGGCCGATAAAAAATGGTGACGTTTGGTAATAAGTGAAATCCACCATTTTGTATTTGTCAAAGTATACATTAATACATTTTACCTTGCTTGAAACTACTGGATTTATTCTACTAGCTGATATTGTAGAGAAAACCCATGTTTATCAAAACAAACTAATGCGGAGGTTGCGCAAGGTCGCTCATGTAAATTATTAATCCTTACCGGAAATCCACGAATAATAGGTTTCCACGAAATTAGGTTACTTGACTGTATTTATACTTTGCTTTAAGTTGGAAGTATATTGTAAATAATGTGTATCTTTTATGTAATTTTAGACTGTGGTTAAAGGTTCTTCATGAAACAGTTGTTTCTTTCCTTCAAAACGTTGAGTAAGGGCATTATTTACAATCTTTTTTTTTTTTTTTGACAACCTGATTATCTGATCAAGAATAGATAACTGAAGAACTTAAACCTACTTCTTTGATTTTTAGCAGGTGTTTGTTTCATCAACGTTCCGCCAAGAGAAATGGCTGTCATTTCCCTTTCATCTAACCATTCTTCATCATCGTCGTCCGATTCGTTATCACTGTCGTCATTTTTATCGGGCTGGACTGTCACATACCCTACAATCTTTTCCACGCCGTCTTTAGGTGGTCTTGCTCCCCTTCGATACATTTTCTAACTCATCACTTTGTCTCTGTTTCAAATGTTTACAAATTGAATTGTCAAAATGAAAGTAGCGTTTCCGTCATGCGCGTTTAGGTGAAATATTGGCTTCAGACAACAAATACTTTCCCTATACTATAAATTTTACCAAAACTGTTTTATCCCATAATATTTAGATTGGACGAAACTTACCTGTAAGTTGAAGTTCAATCATGATTCTATCAGCCAATCTTTAGTGACGAGGGATTATGTGAGATAACAGCACGCGCCTCAATACATCAGGATTTTGTAGACAGATAGTGACGAATGGGAGGGAATGTAAGACTAAGTGGAGGGCACATAATCCCTCGTCACTAAAGATTGGCTGATAGAATCATGATCGAACTTCAACTTACAGGTAAGTTTCGTCCAATCTAAATATTCTATCTGCCAATCACGTGACTACGTGATTCAGTGAGACTTCAAAGCCTGTCTGCACTCGTGACATATCAAAATCACTAGAAAACAAGACAAAATATTTATCCTAACCATAAGACTTTAATAAATCTGAGCATTCAACACACATTTATCAAAGACATTTTCTTTAATGATAACTTTATTATAATAGGTCGAAAAAATCAATAATTGGAACATTCGCTTCCTTAGCAGTGGAGGTGGAAGCAGGTCTAGTACTGTGCCTTGAATCGATTCACATCAATGCCTGCTTTCTCTAAGCCCACTTTTGTCCACCGAGATATTGTGTCTCTGCAGACCTTTTTATGTGGTTTTACATAAGCAATAAACAAAGCACACCACTTTCTCTTAAGCTTTCAGTTTTCTTAATATATTCCTGTAACACAGTGACGACACACAGACGCCCATCTGGTGCATAAGCTTTGAAATTCAAAATTACCGGTTTCCTACCAGCTCTAGATTGTTTAACATGTTGCGAAGTATGAAATTTATACACACTTTTTGATTGGTTAATTTCTAACAAATTAAAATCCAGAGAATGTAATGTTTGCCCTCTCTGGGCAGAAACTATTAACATAAGAAGAACGAGTTTAATTTAACGAAAGTAATTTCACGGGAGATAAAGACTGGAGATAGTTTAAAACAATACGTACATCCCAGACGCTATCATACCTAGGTAGCGCTGGTCTATTATAAAAAATTCCTTTCAAAAGTCTACAAACAATAGGGTGAGATCCAATACACTGTCCATCAATGAAAATTAAGTAGATAAAGCGGAACGGGCAGTATTCATAGCACTGTAACTGAGTCAGTTATTAAACAAATCTAACAGAAAATCCATTATTTGTGCTAGAGATGGTCTAGAGAAATTAATCTGTTTTTTACTACAAAAGTTTGACCACGATCGCAAGTAACAGGAGTACTGCTTCTTTGTTCCAAGTTTCCAGGAATCAAGGATAATATTGGTTGCCTCTTCAGAAATTCCTCTACTTCCGAGGGAATCCCGGATACCATGAAGGCTGTCAGCTTCATTTTCTGCCAAAATGGATGTATTTCCCCGTTTATAGATGTTACCAGTGACTTCTGCTTGGGTAATATTAATGGCCTACAACATAAAACATTAAGAATTTGAGAGAACCAAACTTGAGTTGGCAAAAGTGGTGCTACAATGATGCCTCTACATTGATCAGATTCGATTTTTTGTATACATCTAGACAGGAGGCAAAATGGAGGAAAGCAATATACGATTTCTTCATGCCAGTCATGTGTGAAGGCATCAATAAAGGTGGCATTTGGGTCAGGTTTCCAAGCTGAGTACCTATCTAGCTTAAAGTTAAGTCTAGAAGCAAACAAGTCAATTGTGGTGAAAAATTTAGATACTTTAAGATATTATTAAACACATCCATCGAGACCATTCAGTACGGTCTGTAGTTAAATCTCTCGAGCTGCATCAGCTACATAGTTCATTTTTCCCGCTATGTGAGAAATCATAGGCAATTGCCTCCTATAACACTATTATTCTGAAGGCATTTTGCACCCCATCTGGACTCACTCCACTAATTCATTTGCCATCTCTTCCCATGTTAAAACACGAAATTCAACCTTCTATAACTTTTTCCAGAAATCTCGTTGAAAGCTTTCCAATATGTCGAATGAAAGCCTGACCAATTCTCAATGTCTCCTAAAAAATTCATTATATGATGACCATTAAAATTTTGAGCTACTAAAATTGAAAGTAGACTACTACCGGTTATACTCATCCGCTAGAGTTTGGCACTTCACAAAACGACTATTTTTAGAATTAGCCTTCCGCCTTTAAGTCTCTCATCATCTCACCAAATCTGAAAGATAATGCAATTTCAGACATCAAATTCCAAATCTAAACCAAATTTTACCCAAAATAGGCAGGCAAAAGCCTCAAAAGGGAGAGAGAAAGAAGATTTCTAAAAATAGCCTGGACTACATTCCTATACAATCATTTGCATAAAATGTTTTAGTGGAGTGAGTCCTATATATGCAGCTAATTTTTTTTTCTTGCTTTAATTTGTTCTATAACATCTGTGGAACAACCTGACCCAAAATTATGCAAATAAACCTAAAAGTAAACCAGTGGTAGTGTTTTTACTTTTGCCCCCTCTTTCCTATAATAAGCTATATATGCACTGTATAAGCTTGTATACGTACAATTCTGAATTGGTCAGAACTTTTTTATTTATGAAGATAATTCAATTCTGTAAAAAGATTAAGGAACGTTGACCAAAACCAAGCCTAAAAAACATAAATTACACAGAATAAGGGTCAAATTTATTACGTCACATTTACTTCACACATAATTCAGCCTGTTTCTACTTCAAAAACCACAGTACTTCTTAAATTAATGACAATTGCAGAAATAGAAATAACATGGAACCAAATGTTTTCAAGAATGAATCTTAAAAGACCATATATCCATTAGGTAGTGTGTTAAAGTTACAATCATTACATAACTCATTAAGGTTTATGATCCCTAAACCCCAGAAAACAAAATCAGTCCACATAGTAAATAGAAATAAATGATTTCTCTGTCTATTCATTCTGTCTTCAATATATCATTCTGCTGATATTTTCACCTCCCTCAAGTCTCAAAATAATATATATTTAGCAAAAATTAGAAATTCACTCATTTCCATTCAAAACTCTCAATATGAAAGGCGACAGAAAACGAAAAAGTTCACATTTTTTACCTGGTTATGTAAAGAAAGTTAGTGAGGTGACACAAACTGACTACGACTATGATCTTCCATCTACCTCTGCAGTGTATGAAGACCAAGAATTGAGCTATGTGAATATTGAACTAGACTCTCCAGGTAGTCACAGGGTTTTACGACCAAGGCCTGAAAAAAAAGAAAGCAGTTTTGATCAAAATGAAATCTCAGGCAACAGGATAATCAATGTGGAAAAAATGGTAGAAATGTGGAATATAGCCATTCAGACTCATGCAGACGAAGAGGCCGAGGTGTGTGCAGTACCACAATTTAAGATCAACACAGAAGAAAAATGGGGAATTGGATGGAAATATTCACTGAAATGCCTCAATTGTGGATACATCTCTCCTGTGGTGAAATTATACAAGGAAATCACGACTGGCAAAAGAGGTAGGAAAGCAGCTGTAGTAAACATCAACTTACAAGCTGGATTGCTAGACATGCCTTTAGGCAATTCAAGGACTAGGCTTCTACTGGCAGATTTAGACATTCCCCCACCAGCTGAAAGTGGTATGTCCAAGTTATCCAGTTATGTGAGTTCAAAGACAACTGACTTGAACAATGAAAGCATGAGAACTAAGGTGGAAGAGGTGAAAAATGTCAATAGACGAAGAGGTGCCTCCAACCCTAACGTGATAAATGGGGCTTTGGATGGCCGGTACAATTGTCTGACCATAGGACACAGCAAGAAACCAGGACAAGGAGCATCCCAATCAATCGGCATTGCTTGTGAGACAAACACAGATAAGAAATATATCATAAGTGCTGTGTTGCAAAATAAACTTTGTTGGACTGGAGCGTGGCTAAGAAACACAGGCATTACTGTCAACTGTCCAGGACACGAGGGATGCACAGCAAATCTGACAAGACATGCACCTTTATCTGAGAGAGAAATGGGGAGAATAATTGGTGAAGATTTATCTATTCAAGGGGTGCTCATCAAGTTTGCCACAACAGACGGAGATTCAACGTCAGCTACCGGAATTGAAGAGGCAATGAGAACTTTACATCCTATGTGGAAAGTTGAAAGACTAGCTGACCCAGCCCATCTTAGTTCATCTCAGTTTCGCCAATGCTTTAAGGCTAATTTTAGCGACGGAATGTTCAGTGGCAAAACAAAAGTTGAAAAAACAAATCAAAAGAAAACTTTGAGCCAGGACATAAAATCTAGGTGTAGCCTTGTGATCAAAGAGATGTACTCTACTTACTGCGGAGATGTGGACAAACTGAAAAAACAGCTACCGAAAATACTACAAGCAACTGTTATGTGCTACGATGGAGACTGTTCCAAGTGCCGTTCCAACTCTGTGGTCTGTAGTGGCGGTCACAGCAACAACTGGTGGAATCGATCCATGTTTCTGGCTTCAAACAACTTAACGAGCCTGGAAATGAATGACAATGATAAGTTTCTGTTAAATGAACTTTTAAAAACAAGATTAAGTGAGGAAGCCATTGACAAAACCCGTTATAAGACTGACACTCAAAAATGTGAGTCAATAAATCGTTCCATAAACATTTCGCTTCCAAAGAGTGTCAAATATGGAAGAAATGCTATGGGGCGGCTATCATCGACCTTTCTTCGATCAAATATTGGGATAAAGGAGGCAACACAGACAAAAGCAGAGTTTTTAGGGGCAAAATTGTCCCCTAAGAGTTTACAAGCACTAAGCAGTATTCAGAAAAAATCAGTGTTCCTTAGAGATTATGAAACAAGACCAGAAGTTAAGAGAAGAAAGCTTCTCGCTCGAGGAAGAAATATCCATGAATTTGCAAAATATAAAAAATTCAATTCAACTGACAGTGGGTACAGAAAAGGACAATTAGACAAAATTTTACCTAGTGCTTCGCAGCAGTTGGATGATGATCATTCTTATTCACATTCGAAATGATATTTAAATGTATAATTTGCCTTGAAATGAAAAAAGAAAAGAAAATTCAGTCTTTTTCATAATAACGTGTTCTCTTTTATACTACAACTCTACAATCTGGCAACAGAAGTGTCAAAGCCAGCACTAAACTAACCCTAACCCAACCCTAACCCTAACCCTAACCCCCCCCCCCCTCCCCTCACTCGTTTTGGCATTACAAAATATTCATAAACATGAAAGCCAATCTATGCACATTCATGGTCTTTCTTCTATGACTGATGGGAC